GCTTCTTAAGATATGGGCACCACACAACAACTGCATATTCTAGCTTTGGCCTAACAAAAGTCATGAACAATTTCTTTAGTATATCGCCATCCATGTATTTAAATGCAATTCTGAAGTTAGAAAGCATAGCATAGGCTCCTTGCACAATATTCTTTATGTGGTCCTCAGGTGATAGTTTTCTATCTAGAACCACCCCTAGATCTCCTTCTTTATCAGAATTCTTTAAAGATTTCTCACATAATATATAGGTTGTGTGGGGTCTATATTCTCCTATTCCACATTCCATAACATGACATTTATTAACATTAAATTCCATTTGCCAAGTGGTGCTCCATCTACTTATTTTGTCCAGGTCTTCTTGAAGGGCATGACAATCATCTAAGTTTCTTATCCTTCCTATTATCTTAGCATCATCAGCAAACATGTTCATATAATTCTGTATACCAACTGGTAGATCATTAATGTAGACAATAAACATCACTGGTGCAAGAACTGAACCCTGTGGTACTCCACTTGTGACATTTCTCCAGTCCGATACATTGCCTCTGATTACTGCCCTCATTTTTCTATCAGTCAGAAAATTTTTCATCCATGATAGAAGCTTACCTGTCACCCCTCCAATATTTTCCAGTTTCCAGAACAACCTCTTATGTGGAACTCTGTCGAAAGCCTTTTTTAGGTCCAGATAGATGCAGTCAACCCAAGCATCTCTTTCCTGTAATATCTCTGTGGCTCGATCATAGAAACTGAGTAAATTCGATACACAGGATCTTCCAGATCGAAAACCATACTGTCTGTCTGATATTATATCATTTCTCTCTAGGTGTTCTACCTATTTAGTTTTGATTAGTTTTTCCAATACTTTCACTATTACACTTGTCAATGATACAGGTCTATAATTGAGGGGGGTCTTCCCTGCTGCCACTTTTGTAGATTGGAACTATGTTAGCCTGTTTCCACACGTCTGCTACGATTCCTGTACACAGGGATGCCTGAAAGATCAGGTGAAGTGGAATGCTGAGCTCAGATGCACATTCTCTCAGAACCCATGGTGAAACGCCATCTGGGCCAGCTGCTTTGTTCTTACCGAGCTCCTTGAGCATTTTTTCCACTTCGTCTCTAGTCACCTCTATGTGCTCTATGTTGTTCTCTGGAATTCTTATTGTATCTGGTTCCCTAAAGATTTCATTTTGTACAAACACACTTTGGAACTTTTCGTTTAGTGTTTCACACATTTCCTTTTCATCTTCCGTGAATCTATTTCCCATTTTCAGCCTCTGAATATTATCCTTTACCTGCAATTTGTTTATGAATTTATAGAATAAACCTGGTTCTGTTTTGCATTTGTCTGCAATCCCTTTTTCAAAATTTCTTTCTGCCTCTCTCCTCACTGCCGTGTAGTTGTTTCTCGCATCTTTGTATCGCTGGTATGTTTGGGGGTTCGGCCTCTTCCTGTATTGATTCCATTTTTGTGTCTTTTGGTCTCTAGCTCTCTCGCAATTTCTATTGAACCAATCCTGTTTCCTAGTTCTGCATCTCTGTTTTGGTATAAATTTTTTTGTGCCTTTATCATATATTTCACAAAACTTGACATACATCTCATTCACTTCCTTGCCTAGCATCAAGTCTGTCCAATTATACTCACTAAAAAAATTTCTAAGGTCACCATAATGTCCTCTCCTGAAGTCTGTGTTCACCTAGTTGTGTTTTCGGGGGTTGAGCTTTGCTCTTTTGGCCCGCCTCTTGACTATCAATCATCTGTTTATTATTTTTTTTTTCCACACCAAACACACCCCAGGAAGCAGCCCGTGACAGCTGACTAACTCCCAGGTACCTATTTACTGCTAGGTAACAGGGGCATTCAGGGTGAAAGAAACTTTGCCCATTTGCTTCTGCCTGGAGCAGGAATCAAACCCGCAACCCAGAATTACGAGTCCTGCGCGCTATCCACCAGGCTACGAGACCTCCCCCACCTGTGTAAATGTGTAAATGAGACTGTGTAAATATATATTGTGAAGGACTCTGAATGTAAAAAAATGTAAATGAAACTGTGTAAATATATATAACTTAAGAATTGAAGAAATAACAATGTTCTTGAAGCTCCGGGTCTCAGGAATTCTTCCCGATCAATTTCATCGATTCCTGTTACTATTTTGTACATAGTGATCATATCGCCTCTTTTTCTTCTATCTTCTAGTTTTTGCATATTTAATGCCTCTAACCTCTCCTCGTAGCTCTTGCCCTTCAGTTCTGGGAGCCACTTAGTAGCATGTCTTTGCACCTTTTCCAGTTTGTTGATGTGCTTCTTAAGATATGGGCACCACACAACAGCTGCATATTCTAGCTTTGGCCTAACAAAAGTCATGAACAATTTCTTTAGTATATCGCCATCCATGTATTTAAATGCAATTCTGAAGTTAGAAAGCATCGCATAGGCTCCTTGCACAATATTCTTTATGTGGTCCTCAGGTGATAGTTTTCTATCTAGAACCCACCCCTAGATCTCTTTCTTTGTCAGAATTCTTTAAAGATTTCTCACATAATATATAGGTTGTGTGGCGTCTATGTTCTCCTATTCCACATTCCATAACATGGCATTTATTAACATTAAATTCCATTTGCCAAGTGGCGCTCCATGTACTTATTTTGTCCAGGTCTTCTTGAAGAGCATGACAATCATCTAAGTTTCTTATCTTCCCTATTATCTTAGCATCATCAGCAAACATGTCCATGTAATTCTGTATTCCCGCTGGTAGATAGTTTATGTAGACAATGAACATTACCAGTGCAAGAACTGATTCCTGTGGTACTCCACTTGTGACATTCCTCCAACCTTGCCTCTGATTACAGCCCTCATTTTTCTGTCAGTTAGAAAATTTTTCATCCATGTTAGTAGCTTACTTGTCACCCCTCCAATATGTTCCAGTTTCCAGAACAACCTCTTATGGGGAACTCTGTCGAAAGCCTTTTTTTAGGTCCAGATAGATGCAGTCAACCCAACCATCTCTTTCCTGTAAAATCTCTGTCTCGATCATAAAAACTGAGTAAGTTCATTACACAGGATCTTCCAGATTGAAAACCATACTGTCTGTCTGATATTATATTGTTTTCCTCCAGGTGTTCTACCCATTTAGTTTTAATTATTTTTTCCAATATTTTGACTATTACACTTGTCAATGATACAGGTCTATAATTAAGGGGGTCTTCCCTGCTTCCACTTTTGTAGATTAGAACTATGTTAGCCTTTTTCCACACATCAGCTACAACTCCTGTACACAGGGATGCCTGAAAAATCAGTTGAAGTGGAATGCTGAGCTCAGGTGCACATTCTCTCAGAACCCATGGTGAAACTCCATTTGGACCAACTGCTTTGTTCTTACTTAGCTCCTTGAAATTTTTTTCCACTTTGTCTCTAGACACCTCTATGTGCTCTATGTTGTTCTCTGGAATTCTTATTGTGTCTGGTTCCCTAAAGATTTCATTTTATACAAACATACTTTGGAACTTTTTGTTTAGTGTTTCACACATTTCCTTTTCATTTTCCCTGAATTTATTTCTCATTTTCAACCTCTGAATATTATCTTTTACCTGCAATTTGTTGTTTATGAATTTATAGAATAGACCTGGTTCTGTTTTACATTTGTCTGCAATCCCTTTTTCAAAATTTCTTTTTGCCTCTCTCCTCACTGCCGTGTAGTTGTTTCTCGCATCTTTGTATCGCCGGTATGTTTCGGGGTTTGGCCTCTTCCTGTATTGATTCCATTTTTGTGTCTTTTGGTCTCTGGCCCTCTCGCAATTTCTATTGAACCAATCCTGTTTCCTAGTTCTGCATCTCTGTTTTGGTATAAATTTTTTTGTGCCTTGATCATATATTTCACAAAACTTGACATACATCTCATTCACTTCCTTGCCTAGCAACAAGTCTGTCCAATTATACTCACTAAAAAATATTCTAAGGTTGCCATAATGTCCTCTCCTGAAGTCAGGTTTTTCAACTGCTTCAACCTCCTTAATTTCTTCCAGATTATAACGCATTGCATACTTTATTGCCAAAAAAGACATGGTCACTTTTATCCAAGGGAGGAAGGTACTGTATGTCAAATATCTCTTCCTCCTTCCTGGTAAATATCAAATCTAGCATGGAGGGAACGTCACCTTTCCTCATCCTCGTAGCTTGTTTAAAATGTTGATACAAGAATGTTTCCAGGATGAGGTCTACAAATCTACAGGTCCAAAAATCTTCTGTTTTAGCCTCATATGCTTCCCAGATTATGGATTTCAAGTTGAAGTCACCGACTATCAACAGTCGTGATCTATCGTTATCCGCTCTCGCTATAATCTCTCTCATTATTGTTTTAAGACCTTCTCGTTTACTATCTAGCTCCTCCTTTGACCATGTGCTGCTTGGTGGTGGACTATATGCATTTATGATCATTAGTTTATCATCTTCATTGCAGATCTCTATTGCTATTATGTCAACTTCTTGTGGATTGGCAGTCATTATTTCCTTCACCTTTAGGTGTTCTTTCACCAGCACAGCAACGCCACCGCCTTTCCTAATTTTTCTGTCCCATCTCCAAATTGAGTAGCCCCTTGGGAATATGATCTCATTTAAAATAACATCTTCAAGTTTTGTCTCTGTGAGTGCAACAATGTCTGTGTGTGTGTGTGCGTGGGTGCATGCATGCGTGCGTGTGTGCATGCGTGCATGGGTGTGTGCATGGGTGCATGCATGCGTGTGTCAACACATGGCCACACCCTGGCTGGACGTTCACCCGGGCTGAGCGATTGACCTTAGTCATTTAAATACTGTACTGATTTATTTATTTATTTATTCGAGTTTGTTTATGGGCTAGGTTCCAGTTCTGGTCCTTGGTAGGCCAAATAAAATTTCTACAGTTGATGTGTTTATTTAGTATAGTGTAATCTCAGCAAGACAGCTTCAGGGACCCACTGGGGATGTACCAATAAACATACAATATTGTATTTTTAGCAATTACCTTTTGTTGAAGATGGTTAAATTTGTGCAACACAAAGTTAGTTACACCCTTGAAAATTGAGGGTCGTTCAAATGGAGGTGTACCCAAAGGTCCTTCAACTGTCGGAGGACTGACTTGTAAAATACACTTTCGCAGACGCCGGAACAGATAAGAGTACACCTGTCAAGGAAATAAATCATAAAATTAATATGAAAAAATGGTTAAAAAATAGTCGTTTAAGACCTAATAAGAAGAAACAAAGTAAAGCATTCTGAACTGTGTCAAGACACTGCAGTTATGTAGTGGTCAAGACACAACCAGTAAAACTAGAAATAATGCAACTAAGCTTCAAAAATTAATGTAGCAGCTTTACAGTCTAATGAGTCAGTTCACTGATGCAATTTACAAGACCTAAGCCAATAAACTGCTACTTTTCTTCACTGGATGAGTTTTTTAGAAAGCTATCAATAAGCCGCACCAAAGATATGAAGAAAGAACAAGAAGTCGGTATAACTGTGTGCTTCTCTGCTTGTGTAATGGAGGTATAAAGACAATCAAATGTTTAACTAATCACAAAGGTCATCAAGACAGGTAAACCCATCCCCACCCACAGTATATCTCGAGAGGCAGATACTATAACCTCAAATACAATACATCTCCTGATATGACACACATACACATCCCCAACCACTCTGCCTTGTCACTACTGTGTGGTGATTCCAAGGATCAACAACCCCATGGCCCAGTCTCTGACCAGGCCTCCTTGTTGGTGGGCTGTTCAACCAGACTGTTGGATGCAGCTGCTCGCAGCCTGACACATGAATGTGTCTGGTTTATCAAGTATCATTTGGAGGTGTTTATCATGTTCTCTCCTGAACACCATGAGAGACCGAACACTTATGCCTTTTATATATATATATAGGAAGAGTGTTGAAAAGTCTTGGGCCTTTGATGCTGATGGAGTTCTCTCTCAACATGCCTATTGCTCCTCTGCTTTCCCATGGGCTATTTTGGACATCCTGCCATGCCTCCTTCTCAAGTGCAAATTTGGAACCAGCCCCCTTTAATATTTTCCATGTGTAAATTACAGATCTCTCTATTGCCTGCACTCTAGAGAAGACATGTTTTTAAATTTTAATCAGTCTCTATAATTAGATGTTTTTATAGAGTGGATTCTGAAAGCAAAAAATCTAAGCATCATCTTCATGTCAGCAATTTCTCCATTTTCCATATTTTATTTCTTCTATAGGGCAAGACCTGGACTTATCTGCATTAAACATATTATTATTTGTCATGTTGAAAGACCTGATTTACATCACATTGGAGGTTTGCTGTGCCCTCTATATTGTCTACTCTCAAGAAAATCCTAGTAGTATCATCTGCAAATGATGATACAGTACTATAATTGGTATCCTTGTCTATGTCTGACAAGAGACTGAGAAAAACCAGCGTTGAATGTAATGAAACGCCATTTTCTGGGTGAGACCCCAGAGGCTACCCGGAGTTGATATGGATATACTGTATTAGACTTTGGCATCAGTCAATGTGAATGGAGTTCTAGGCCTACCAGGGACCACTAGCCAGAACCTGGCTCCCTCGGAGAGGCACGAGGAGCAATGGCCTATAGAAATGCACATGTGGTTATGGAGCATTCTATGTCTGCCATCGACATGATCAGGCACCCAGAAAGGTAAGCATCCAAAAACGAACCCTTATGCTGGTTAAAATATTGCTACTGAAAGCCGAACTAGTGGACATTACTCCCCAAATGTAAACTAGCAACTAGCATGATGTCGCCACACCACTTGTCTGCGCAACCCTACCATTCCAGGGAGGGCAAAGGAAGAGCCCCAGACACTCACACCAGCTATTCACACCACAATTCTATAGCTGGATATCAAAAACACGCAAAAAATCGCATACTATTGCCAGGAAGCCTCCAGGTCTCACCCAGAAAATGGTGTTTCATTACACTCAATGCTGGTTTTCTAGGGGAAGCCCCTTCGGCTTCCCGGAGCTACTTACCAAAGACAAAACAAGAATGACTCACATGGGAGGCAGACGGCACTTGCCCTTTAGTGCGAAGTTGAGACAACAGGCTACAACCGCTGACCACATGCGACATAGGCCCGACTAGGCCCAGGAACATTGACAAGGTAGCGAGCGGCCAGGACCCTGTTAGACCTTCAAAAACCACATGCCCGAATGTCAGCCAAAGATGTGTTACGGCAGCCAAAGTAGCAAATTTACGAACATCGTGGGCACGAGGGTAGACCACAGGCTGGCTGGATCGAATAACCCTGCGCACGACCTGGGAGACCCAAACCCTGGAACAGGGAAGAAGGTAAACCGGGTCAACCCAAAGGGTGCCCCCGTCCACCGAGGCCATAACACCCAGGTAACGGCAGAGAGCTGCAACTGGACACAACACATGATGCACGCCCGGCCTAACCAACCAAGCATCAACAACCCAAGGACCCCTCTGGAAAGCAGCAGTCTCAGTATTTGCCAGAAAAGGAGACGGCAGCAAACGAACAAACCTACCACCAGGAACAAAAAAGAAGAAACCCATGCGCCGGAAGAGAGCATGAAGCTCCCCGACCCAATCCCTAGAGGCCAATGCCAACAGGGAAAGAGCCTTGGCAAAGCAATCCTGAACCAAAGGGGCTACCCCAAACCGAGGTGGAGAAAAAAAGACCACCCGGTCCGAAGACTAGAATGGCTCAGGCAGTGCATGAGCAGGCTGGAGGTGAAACAAAGCCCTTGACAGCTTAAGGAATGGTGCAGAAGTAACATCAATGCCAACCACAAGCTGAGCCGGCTCCGCTAACGCTGCACAATATGATGTGACAGTATTTGGCATAAGATGACGGTCCTGGAACAACCATGAAAGGCCAAAACAACCTGAACAGACAACCGAGGTAAACTGATGAAGGGGCAAGAAATACCGGAAGGACCGCCAGAAAACTACACACCACTGCCGAGACGAAACACAGTCGGGACACCATCAACGAAGCCACCTGCCCACCATACAAGTGGTGAGAGACTAGAGTTAGAAAGACCAGACGCGAGGACTCCAGAAGATCGAACCTGCCTCGTAACGGACCGGTCCAAACTGCTGAAAGAGAGAGAAACATGGGTAGACCCCCAGGTTCAGACACTCGAGCAAGCAGTGCCTGAACCAAGGATGGGCTGGCCACCAAGGAGCCAAGAGGACTATTCTACCTAGGGAAGCCTCCAAGTGAGCTAGGACCTGGAGCAACAGTGGAACCAGGGGAAAGAGGTACAGGTAACCCCACCTCGACCAGTCCTACTGCAAGGCATCGACCCCGAAGCAAACGGCCAGGAGAGCCAAACCTCGAGACCTCAGAAGACGAGTCACCCGAAGCGACCAGCCCCAAAGAGCCAAGGACCGCATTGAACCTCCATGGTTCAGGCAATGAACCACTGGGAAGCAGTCCGAATGGAGCCAGATCGACGATCCGCAAGCGATCCGAACGCTCCAAAGCAGCAGCCACACTGCCGCAAACTCCTGCACCATGCTGTACACCTGACGGAAGGACAGACCCCACCACCCCAGGCTGGCCTGGTGAGCACTGGTCAAAAAGGCCCAGTTAGAGACGACGAGTCTGTGATCATAACAAGTGAGGGCTAGGGTAGGAGCCAAGGCACTGAATCCCGAAAAACCCAAAGAGGAAGTCGGCGACGCAAGGCTCCCGGAGGCTGCACCCAGCAATCGCAAGAGAGGCGGAAGGGAAGGCCCTGAGGGAACCAGAACAGCCAACAAAGCCAAACCTGACCTGCCAGGTAGACCATCACGTCAAAGTTCAGGCTCCCGCACAAACCCTCGAGCAACTGCCGGGTTACCCAGGAGCCCCCCAAAAACAAGCGAAGGCAGAACCACAGCCAAAAAGAGCCTTCAGAGGGAGAGACAAGGAAGTGGTCCAAGAGTCCCACACAAGACCCAGCCAAAGCCAAACCTGAGAGGAAACCAGATGGGACTTCCTCCAGTTCACCAGGAACCCAAACCCGGCAAGCTGGGAAAGAACCAAATCCCTGGTGAGCAGACACATGGACTGGCTGGGAGCCCACACCAACCAGTCATCGAGGTAGGCTAGGACCTGAACCCTTAAAAGATGCAGATGGGCTACCATGACCTGGGTAAGGAGTGTAAACACTCGAGGTGCCAGGTTCAAGTCGAATGGAAGGCAACGAAAATGATAACCCCGATTCCCCACAACAAAATTGAGCCAGACCCTGAACCTCGGATGAATTGGTAAGTGCCAATAAGCATCCCAGAAGTCCAGGGACACCACATAAGCGCCCGGCTCTAATAGAAACCAGACCTGGGACAGAGCAGTCAACCGAAAAGAGGGGCAAAAGAAAAACATAAGGACCCCCCCCCCCCCCCTTGAGATGACTCGGCAGAGCACAGGTGAAGAGGCCTGGCCCGCCAGCCCAAAACCACCAAAGGGGAAGGAGCCACCCAACACCACTGCAGGCCATCAAAACTGATCCAAAAAGCCCACAAATCACAAGACCAGGCATGAGCAAACAACACAAGCCCCGCCCCCATCACCCCGTCAATGGAACAACACCCCCGAAGAGAACCTCGCAAAAAAGACGAAGACGGGTCCAAGGACGGCGCCAACACCAAACCTGGCACTACCTGCCTACCCCGACGGGAAGAACCCTGAGCCCTGGCATGACCCCACCGGGAAGAACCCCCACGGGCCTCCTGGAGAACCAATAAATCCAACATCGGATGAAAACAAGCAGAAGCGGAGGAAAAGAAAACCCCCCGCACCTCATAACAGTAAACCCCGCCCAGAGGGCACAAAAACCGAAGCGGGGTCCAATGGGGCCCAAGACCCCCCAAAGCAGCCCCTCTCCCGCCCCAGGAACCTCCAAAGCAGGACTTGGGGCCGAGCCATCCCCCCCAAAGCCACAGCCTCACAAGAAAAACCCGGGGCATCCAGAAAAACGTTAAGGAAGTGGGGCCCCCTGCTCAGACCCATATGCATTGCTGGAATGTTTCTAATGCTTCTGTCGCTACCCCGGAAGTGGCAACCCCCAAGACTGCCCGAGTCTCCAACCCAACTAAAACCTGCCCTGACTCCGAAACCCTCAGACGCTTCATAGCCAGAAGTAGGGAGGGTGGGGGGGGGGGAGCAGAACGA